GGGTTCCCCATGGAGTCTTCTTAAGGAAAAGCAGTTACGGACCTTCCTAATGTCCGTCTAATGCCTTTTCATAAGACGCCCGGCGTTACGGCAACAACGTGTTAGCGTGTCTCCATTTTTTGCGCTTGTGACTGCCAATTTACATTCTGCCGTTGCGGCTCATAATTATAATATCCCGTGCAAGGCCCGTGGGCGATGAAGAAGTTTACTGCAACGGAAAGCCGTGTCTGCCAGTGTTTTCATCAGCACGGTGTTCCGAGTACATTACGGCATGCGTCATCTCATTCCCTCCGTCGGCAACAGATGATCGCGCGTGTGACCCCCCCCCCCTCACACACACACGTCGTGGTAGATAATGTAAGTGCCGTATCTTTTCTTTACCCAGCTTTACAGAACGGTGAAATAAAGGCTTGTGTGCGAAAACACCTGCGTATTCTCAGCGCATGAAAACAACTAATACTAGGTTATGACATGCGGAGATCCCGATATTTTCTGCTAAGGAATTATTCATTACTTCGTTCTGTATTCAAAAGAAACCGGATGTGGTTTAAGACATCTTTGAATAAACTTTGTCAACTTGTTTTACCGCGCATGCTTTTTCTGTGGACATATTTTTACATTCTGTAGTTAGGTCACTTCAATTTTTGCAAACATAATCCCTCACATAACGAAAACCAAATGAAGGCCTGTGCTGAATCGATGTCATCAAAAGTTTTTGTCTTTACATAAACTAGATCTGGTGGCATTTAACAAGAAACGCATGGTGTATAGCCTACTCCCTCTTTCAGGACCGCGCTCCAGAGACGTTGCCATGAACATCGTCACATGATATGAAGGCGCGGCATGGTGCAATGCTATGTGTAATCACCTCAATGTAAGCTTTCAGGAGCGGTCTAGCTGGGCTTATAAAGCCGGGTAAAGTTACCTGATTGAGCCCATTGACTGTTCACTGACACGGACAACTGAAGACTGGGAGAAGCAACCAATACGAGCATGCGTGAGCACTCTGTTATGCTTTCCCTGAGACGGATAACGCAAAATCTGTGGGTGTAATTTGCGAGGAAACATGACGAAGGACATCAAACGGAACAAAGCATTGGAGCACGATACGCTAACTCCAGGCTGGAAGCCCATTCCAACACTGTGGCACTTCAAGATGCGGGCAGTTCCTTAGTAAATTAAAATCTTTACCGAAAAGACAGGGTGTGTAGCCGTTTTACACCAGCATCCTTGGCAAAGAGGAGACCAGTCTCATTACCCTCCTGGCACCAACCAAGCTGAGCTGGAACGCACTAGAACGTCTTCTAAGGAGGCTGAGCGGCAGTTGTTCATGCTTAACGTTCACTTAGACAGACGGGTGTCGCCCGAGAATTCCTCGAGAAATTGTGGAGTGGCTACCGGGAGGTCTTGCTGGATTGTCAATAATGTCCCTGAAGCTTGGATGCCCGCCCGTGGAGTCGAAGACGGTTGAGTTAGTGTCATTTACCAGAATGCAACACAAATCCTGACAACTGCCGACCGACCAGGCCTGACGGTTTGACATCATTTTGAGAGCCGCACTAGATGGTACTGCATACTGCACCATTTTAGCTTTTAGGCCGGAATGGTCACGCTCTGGGCAACTTTTGACGACTTTTAGTAACCGGAGCACAACTGACGACAGAGGTCTAGGCGATTTCGTATAATCATATCGCTTTTCAAAACAGGGTCAAAAGATTCAATTGACTTGTTTGACCCTGTTCCTCACAAGCAGCTCCCAATCAGCAGAAAGGCCCACGAGATTAGCGCATAGCTCTGAAATTGATGAGGCATATCTAACCGACAGATAACAAAGAGCGTTGGTAAATAATGGCTTCGCGTCCACCTGGACGGCGATTCTAAGCAAAGATCTGCGATCATTAGTGTTGACTTCCTTGCTGATCGTCACATTTGAAAGCCATATGCCTGACTTTGCTGACTGTCACATCGCGTCGTTTGCGGAAGACATTAAGATTTAGACACCGGCTGGTTTTCCTGTCCACACTGAGCGACTGCAAAGACGCCCTGATGTCCTTATGGGTTGTTCCGATATATGGCAGCTGTCCTTCAGCAATGAGAAGCAACGAGCACCGCGCTTGGGACAGACCAAAGACCGATAAGTCGACGCCGTGCGTGGCAGGCAGCTGCAACAGGCATCGGCACAACCGGCCTGAAGATGTACGTCCACATCGATCTCGAGTTCCAGAAAGGGGCAGTGGCGACGGCTGTATGGCATCCCGGGTCAGGGCGGTCGGTCGTCGGTCCTTCAACATTTCTGGCCAGGCAGTTCTGCCTGTTTCATTGGAATCCTTGGAAAACGGTGGCACAGATGGAGCCAATTCAGTGGCGAGGACCAGCGCTAGTAGGCCAATACGAAGACGAGTGACAAAGCTGGTTCGGTACGTCAGGAACAGCACGCATCCAGAGAGGAATCGTGCACTCGGTCGCCATCACTGTCACAGAAAACACCGAGGAAAGCAGCTTGCGAACAGCTCCACGCAAGTTGTCGATACGCCCCAGAGGAGGTTTTCCACTAGCCAGAACTGCCCCGACACTGTGACGCCCTGGAAGCTACGAAAGTCCCAAACGGCCACCATATTCAACAGCGATGCATTCTCCCGGGCCACGAGGGACTGAAATGCTCTTTCGTTAGCGTCCGCGGATTCGGTCACACCGACGTGGGCATGCCCTTCGTAATCCCAGGTTTCGCATCGCGTCGTACCGTATGTCGGGGATGATAGAGACGGCGGGCGGTGAGCGGGCCGTATCCTAAACTTAGGACGCCGACCTGGCCTGGAGCCTGCAAACTCATTCAGCTAAGTGCGCTGCTTTGCCGGGTATTTAAGGATGCGAAATTGACCATACAAGGAAGGCATGGTTCCTCGGGTTTAATTGGTACTCGGGGGCCGCAATGCGGTCATAAGCCGCGCAGAATCACATGCCAGCAGGTCGACTCAATTCATGCGTCCCTGGCGCCTGCCCTCGGTGTTATTCATTACATTGTTCAGCTTTACGATCAAGACCTGCGCAATTGAATCCGTTTTCTTCTTGGTTCTTTTATGCTACGTAAAAGCCCATCAAGCTTCCCGAAGAACGAGACAGTGGTTGAAAGCCAGTTGACGGAAAATGTAATGTCCATTTACTGGAAAACAAAGACAAAAGAGAAACTCAGTGGCCAAACTGCTGCACCTGTCCGCAGAGAGCGGCCTCCCACTGCACCCGTCCGCGGACAGCGGTCCCCAACGACACCTGTCCGCAGACAGCGGTCCCCAACGACACCTGTCCGCAGACAGCGACCCCCGGCTGCATCTGTCCGCAAACAGGGGCCCCCGGCTACACCTGTCCGCAACAGCGGCCCCCCGACTGCAACTGTCCGCAGACAGCGGCCCCCGGCTGCAACTGTCCGCAGACAGCGGCCCCCAGCTGTACCTGTCCGCGAACAGCGGTTTAAGCTGCATCTGTCCGCATACAGCGGACCCCAGCTACACCTGTCCGCGAACAGCGGTCCCCGGCGCTGGCCGGCCTGGCTCCGACCTTGAGCCGGCGGTCCGGCGGCCGCCAGACAGCCAACAGCGCGCCCCCCGGGGGCAGCTGCGAGTCCAACCGGCACCACCTGAGCCTTCCACCGCCGTCCGAGGCGCGGCCGACCGACTCTGGGTGGAGCCCACAGCATTGCCAGAAGCGGGCATCGTCTGAAGTACATCACCGCGCCGACTCACAACTGAGTATAGTCTTGATGGACTTGAGCTATAGCAGAATCTACAGCTGAACATCGGGCTATTTATTAGGTATATGTTGCATATTCCATTTTATACAGTTCTTATTATGTATATCATGTCAACTGAAAAACGACTGTGGGATTGAGTTGCCTGATTTCGATTTCAGTGAGTGTGAGTGTTACAACAAATGGAATCTCCTCTGCCAGGTGGACCTTGACAACTCGCTGCCTTGGTTTTGCAGTTTCTGAATTACACCGCAAGCCGCTGGTAGCTATATAACTATTAAGACATGTTAATAGTCATATAACATTATACGTTTTATATGTCTTGGGGCTATGGGGGACCTGCGGGACACTGCTAGAACGTTGCAACGAATTGTAAGTGTCAGTTACTTAAAGTGTGCGTCATACAATGTTTACTATCCACTGTGCAAGTTAAAACAGCTAGAGGTGTCGGTACTTATGGCATTACGCCCGTTTCATGGTGGACGATAGCAGGTGTGAACCACATTCACACACACACACACACACACACACACACACACACACACACACACACACACACACACACCACACACACACACACACACACACACACACACACACACACACACAACCACACAAAATACTGGCCATGTAATGCCACCTATCGTCTTTGTGCTGTGCTGGGCTTCTCATACCAACTTGATCTTGCTTTTGTCTACATGGTTGAATGCAAGGGCCGGCTGCTTACATCACATACAAATTAGCGAAGCACTGAACATGAAATATGTTGAAGTGTGTCATATTGTGACCTTATGTTGAATGAAACAGAAATGTGACAGCAGACTGGCGCAAATCATTGCCTGCAAGGTCTCAGCTGTGAAGCTGAGAATAAGGGAGATTGGTGTCTGGACTGACTTTTGACTTGCTGAGATGAGCCAAACCCGATTCAGAACTTTACATCAGTGGAGAGGTTTCTTGAGAGCGTCATGAAAACGGCCCGTAGAAGAGGCGCCAGAACCAGGCTGCGCCGCAGGGTCGATACGTACCGCGGCGCAGTATACCCTTTCAGTGATAACGTCGATGGCTAATCACCACACCAACGGCGCTTGGTAAGAGCCCCAACTGGACGCTCGAGACGCAGACAAGTATGCAACTGCTGCGTCAAAGATCGCTACAGGCTCCTTTGATCACAACGCTGACCTCCAGTTAAGACCACTGACTGGAGACACTGCCACCCGTCCCAAACCAAAAGCCTGTCACCCTGCGGGTCGGTACTCACATTGAGCTGCAGCAGAATCTTCTCGTAAGCCCAGAACCAGCGCTCGCGGGCCGTTAGCGGCTTCTTGGCCTCGCGCGGCTCCTGCTCGTCCTCGAACGAGACCTTCTTGTCAGCCTCGGCGAGGCGCAGCTCGGTGCGGCTGGTGGCCGCCTCCTCGCCGCCCTGCTGGTACGCTGGGTGCGGCTCGATGACGTTCTCGCGCGGCGGCGAGACGGGCGTCGTCACCTTGCTGCGCCGGCCGGGCGCGTCCGGCTCAAAGTTGCCCAGGATCAGCTTGTCCTGGTCGATCTCGGCCTTGACCAGCGTCGGCGAGCTCAGCGAGCCACGCGTCGGCGAGGTGCCGCTGGGGCTCGGCGACTTGGTGGTGGGCGAGTAGGACACTTCGGTGGCGCTGAGCTCGTCGCGCGAGCTGCTCGTGTGCTCGGCCGGCTCCTCGTACAGCGGGCTGGCGCGGTCCAGGCTGGGGCGGGCGCCCAGCGTCAGCCGCTGCTCATGGAAGCTGTCGTGCCGCATCAGCCCGCTGCCGTCGGGCGCCGCCTTCACACCGCGGCCGTCCAGCAGTGCCCGGTCTTGCTCCAGGTCGCTGGACGTGTAGAACTCGTCGCGCCGCATGTACGGGTCGTTGCCGCGGTAGCGGTCGATCGAGGCCAGGATCGCCGCGTCATCGGACGGCATGGGGAGCGGCGTGGACGCCGCCGCCGCCGCCGCTGTCGCCGGTGCCGGCGGCGGCGGCGGCGGCGACGGCGGCGGCGAGACCGTCATTTCGCCGTCGCCGTAGCTGGCGTGCTTGGTCAGCTGGCGGTGCGGCGTCGGCGCGGCCGCCGCCGCCGGCGCCGCCGGCGCCGAAACCTTGGCCAGATTCGGCGTCGACTGCGCCGGTGTCTTGGCCAGCCGTGTGTCGGCACCGAGGCCGCGGAACAAGCCCGCGAACATCGAGCCCACCTCCTTCGTCTTGGTGCCGACCTTGTTCCCCAGCGCGGTGAGCTGCTCGCCGCCCTGCGCGGACTGCGTCGAACCGGGGCGCGAGGAGGCACTGCCGGCGCCGCGAACCGTCTGTCCCACCGACTGACCGATCTGGCCCAGCGACGAGGTCAGCTTGGTCAGGCCCAGGTTCCCCAGGCCGAAGTCTGGCTTCTTTTGGCCGGTCGGCAGCCGGCCGTCCCCGGCCGACAGAGGCACTCGCGGTACACTCGCGGGAGGCGCCGCCGCGCCCGAACTCGTTCTCGCGACGCTCGCGGCGTCCTTCTCCGTCTGGTTCAGCTGCTCGGAGCTGTCGTACGCGTAGTTGTAGTTCTCGTTGTAGGTACCGTCGTCGTAGTAGTACCACTCGCCGCTGTCCTCGTCGTAGTAGCTCCAGGCCGTGCCGTCAAAATAGTCGCCCGTCTCCTCGTCGTAGTATTCGGCCGCCTGGTCGTAATCGTCCGCGTCGTATTCACCGTACCCGGGCTGCACCCCACCGTACCCGGTCTGCGCCTCACTGTGGCCGGTCTGCGCCTCACTGTAGCCGGCCTGCACCCCACTGTTCCCGGCCTGCACCTCACTGTAGCCGGTCTGGGCGCCGCTACGCGCGGTCTGCGGTTCACTGCAGCCGGCGCCAACACCGCTCGGCTGCTGCCGCTCAGCGCCGCCGGCGGTCGCCGCCGCGCCACTGGGGCCGTTCGGAAGACTGCTGCCCGCCGCTGCCGACGAGAACGTGACACCGTCGCCGGTCGCCTCGACGCCGTCGTCGCCGGCCGCCGGGTACGCTTCCGGATCGTACGCGTATTCAGCCGCGTCGTAGTCGCCGTAGTACTCCGCCGAGTCGTGCTGCGCCTGCTGGCCGTCGTCCTCGGCGTACTCGTAGTACGGCTGGCCGTTCCTGCGCGCCGGGACATGACCCGGTCAGCGGGGAGGGGAAGGGCACTGCGGTCGGTGTCGCCTCTGGGGCGCGGCGCGCTGTAGGTCACATACCTAACTGTTGGCGGCACGGAACTACAACACTGCCACCCTCCTCTGGGGTGCTCCTGCGGTGTCGGGCGCCCCTGCACGAGTAATAACAACATGATCTTGCTCAATGTTAACAAACGGGATGAAGAAAGTTACATGTGATCCGTCCACGCCAACATCAGCGTTTTCTGCCTGCACCACGCCAAATGTTCTGTTACTCACTTGCGGTCAGTGCGCCAAGACATAAGCCGTGCATTCTCAGGAACAAGCAGTTATTGTTGTGGCTGATTGTCGCTATAGACCCGTTGTCAACCATATCGTCAATACGGGGTAATGTCGTTGTTTAGTGGCATTGATCTCTTGGACTGTGGATGGCCTAAACCACGCAGTTTTACTGCGGAACACGGATACTGCCCTCCCACTCAAGATGTACCAGTGCAGCGGCTATAGTTCAGGGGGGGGGGGGGAGGGGCTGGTGATTGGCTAGCTTCTGGGAGATTCTGCGTTGATATCGAGCTGAGAGGGAGGACCCCGCCCTAGCAACTATATCCCAACTTTGAGGAACTGCTAATGGACTCTATCAGCGCGACATAATTAAATATAACGGTGGGTAGCGAGAAACGCAGGAAAACATTGATATTTCCAGGCGTACGACATCGTATCAGTTATCCTGAGTTATGATGTGGGCACATTGATACGCATCACAAACGGGGAATGAAGTTACATTCCAAGCATGGTTGGCTCCACAACTTGGTACTGCATTGCTTACCATTGAAACCTTAAAGTTCTTCGATTGCATACCTTGCCTATGACTGGCCAAAACGAATTCAGCAACACGTGCGTTTGTACTAGGGTTGAAGCGACGGCAGCTGCATAGACGTTTACAAGCTGAGCCAAAGCCGCCATTCTCTTCTATAACTTAGGACAACGCGTTGAGTGTAGTATGACCCGCTTTTGACAAATATTGGCATTAAATGGTAGTAATCATTCGGTGGTTGATTCCTTGTTTATGACTCACTCGTCCACGTAGTATTCTTGGTATGCTGGGTCGTATTCGTACTCGGCCTCTTCTTCACCTTTCGTCTCCCTGCGAATCATCACCACTGGTGTTATCGGCAGAACCAAAGTCACCAGGAGACCGGTCATCAGTCACATCAGAGTCACTGTCAGAACCAAGACCGCTCGACACACACTCACACACACACACACACACACACACACACACACACACACACACACACACACACACACACACACACACACACACACACACACACACACACACACACACACACACACACACACACACACACACACACACACACACACACACACACACACACACACACACACACACACACACACACACACACACAACACACACACACACAACACACACCCTGCAGTTGCCAGATCAGTCTGCCGCCACCGGTGTTTCATGGCACCAAAGTAATTAGCTTCACGGACCAGTACCAATGTCAGCACATCGACTCCGGCATTACTTTGAAACGGCACTAGCTTTGTTCAGTCATCCACACAATATCAAGACCAATTACCCTCAACACACGACTACCGCCATCGAGCTCCAGTGCCTGCAACGGAATGCAAACTGCATAGTGTCACGTCATCCTAACCCATGGCAGTAGCGCGGTACGAATCAAATGAGAGTCTTCCATATGCATGCAGCTATTTCGCGGACAAAAGGATCCAACCAGTAAACCAGTACAGGGCAGGACGCCGGAAAATAATCAGCAAAGGCAGCCATGAGTCTCCTCGAACGGAAGCCATGTCAGACCCACTGGATGAGTAAACTCCGCCAGCCCCATTCCACCGCGGACACGGTCAGCCAGCTCCAGTCATCGGCAGAGATCTCAGAGATCACCGGAAACGACGCCGCGAGGGAGAGCGGCGCGGCGCGTCGGCAGACAGCACCAGGGTGCGGTGAGTGGACCCGGGACACCGGCTGTGGAGTCGGTCGAGCGCAGTCGCAGGGGCCGCTCCAGAGCCGGCACACCGCCCTTCGACACTGACAGGCAAGGTCGGCGCGGCCGCAGGTGGGCCAGCGGGCTCTGACGAGCAGGCTGTCGAACATTTGTGAGCCGCCCGTCATTGTGTGACGGCGCGCCGCTGTGAGGCCCCTCCCCCGACACGCCCGCTCCGTGACCTTGGGATGTGAGTCATCCGGAGTGGAGGGGGGGGGGGGGGGGGGGGCGGGGAGGGTTGCTGTACGACAAGGGAAGGTTTCGGAGGACAGGAGACGGTCCAGACATTCTAGTAAGGAAAACACAGTTTGGCGATCGTCTACGGTGGCTGGATATTGGCATGCTCTTCTACAACTGTGGCAACTAAATGACCAATTGGAAACCCGGAGTGGTGCGCAAGAGCACGAATATTTTAGTGCGTCCAGTCACCTGGTGACAGTGCGTCCAGCAGTGCTGTAAGTGACCACGTCAAATGCGATAGTGTGATTAAAAAGGCAAACACGCCGTTCAGAATGCAACGCATAAACACTCCTTTTCTTGTGCTTGACAGAGCAACCACGAGTCAACCGGTTAGCCTACACCATCTTCAAAACATAACTGAAGCAAAGGGGGCGTGGTTATGCTCATCCGCCATATCACATAGAAGTGGGCCAACGTGTTCATGCAATGTTTGAAACCACGATGACTCGAACATCTCTGCAACGCACTGTGACTCGCAAGCATCACACATGGTTCGCGCCCAAATGCGATGGTCTGATTTGAAGCCGCGTGCGGTAGAAGCTGACCTCCCAGCCCGGCATGGTTCGGAACATCTGGAATGTACAAAGAGATAGACCGCTGGTGGGTACCCGTGGAGTGCCCCTGGTGGGTGCCGGTGAAGAGCCGCTGGTGGGTGCCGGTGGAGAGCCGCGGCTGGGGCTCGGAAGGGCAGAACCGTCTGTGGCGTTGCGTCGCCGTCGGTGCCCGACGGCCGTCCATCAAACGTGGCCGATCGATTTTGTACAGGTGCTGCCGCTCAAGGTCGTGCTCTTGAGGCCCGGACATCGCTCAGGTGGCACCCCTCCCCTCCCCTGCCCCCGCCATCACCCGGCGCGCTAACACACGAGCGCAGCTACGTTTGACGTCAGTGGGCTTGCCCGCTGCAAAGTAGCATCTCTATGGCCCGTATTAGAACACCGCATTGCTCTTTAGGTGAATGTTGGCGTGCGACAAATGGGATTCCATGGATTGAAACATGAATTAGATTAAAGGCACGTCCAGGAGGGATGCCATGAGGATGCAATGATGTCAAGGCTATGAAGTGCTTGCGATTCGCTGCGTGCTGTGGCACACTACGGCACGCTGCAAACTTAATGCAGTTACAAATTCAAACACCTCCTCAATGCATTAAGCGCTTTGCCATGGGCAAATCGGCCATTCTGGGTCACCGCCCTAAGTCACCTGTCCTGGGTGACCTGCCCTTGGTAACCTGTCGCGAGTCGCTGTTGTTGAGCAGGCTGTCCAGTGTAGTTTGTCATGAACCACTCGTTCTGAGTCAGCCACCCTGAACAGCCTGCCTTAGTAACCTGTCTTGAGCCACTTCTAATCAGCCGATTGTTCCGAGCCACCTTTTCCCAGCGACCTGCCCTAGGTAACCTGTGATGGGCTACGCATCCTGAGCACTTTGTCACGCGTCTCTTGTCTTGAATCAGTGTGTGGTCTGTGTCAGTGTGAAAACCTTAGTGGTCTGTGTCGCCTGATGTTTGGAGCTCCCTTTTTAAAGTCCTGTATTGAGCTGTCTGTTCTGAGTTTTGTACCGAGTTGTCTGTCTTAAGTCCGTCCGGACTGGCTGAGTCCGTCCCTACTGAGCTGTCTGTCCTAAGTCCTGTACTGAGCTGTCTGCCCTGAGTCCGTCCGGACTGAGCTGTCTGCCCTGAGTCCGTCCGGACTGAGCTGTCTGCCCTGAGTCCGTCCGGACTGAGCTGTCTGCCCTGAGTCCATCCGGACTGAGCTGTCTGCCCTGAGTCCGTCCGGACTGAGCTGTCTGCCCTGAGTCCGTCCGGACTGAGCTGTCTGCCCTGAGTCCGTCCGGACTGAGCTGTCTGCCCTGAGTCCGTCCGGACTGAGCTGTCTGCCCTGAGTCCGTCCGGACTGAGCTGTCTGCCCTGAGTCCGTCCGGACTGAGCTGTCTGCCCTGAGTCCGTCCGAACTAAGTGCCCCATCCAGAGTTCGCCTGAACTAAGTGACCTTGAACTCAGTCGACTGTGCGGGTCACCGGTACGGGACATTTCTGTCAGCTCGCCACCCGTGTCCAGCTCTGTCGGCGCGCCCAGAGCGCGAACCTCGCATACAGATGTCTGCCGCACGGCGCAGGAATCTGGCAGCCGGCGACGCCGTGACCCCTGACCGCTGCTGGAGAACCACTGGCCTTTGACCTTTAGTCCAGAAGCACTGACATTTGATTCGGAACGGCCAAATCTTGCATAAAAGAGCACAGGCCACGCCACAGTCAGCAGTCGATCTGGGTCAGCAGTCCTGACTTCCTAAATTAGTGCGTGTCCAACGTAACTGACCATCAGGGGACACTTCCCTCACTCTGTGTGTGATCCGACCTGGCTGCTGGTCTGTTGGAACTATCTTTCGTCTGATCTTCTAGGGCCCGTTATGATCAGATGTAAAGTTCCCGGGCTGGCAATGTGGCTAATTACAAAAAAAAATCCTTACCACTTACTTTCTGTCTGTGAACACCTAGTTCGCCTCAAGAAACCTTCCACTGGCGCGAACGCGGACCCCAAAAATTGCAGAATCAGACACACACGCACTGACACAGACCTCCCCGAAATGTACGAATATTATGTCGGGATGAACACTCAACATAAAAATGGCCCCGTTTTTTCCCAAGTTTGGAAAGGACACGCGCATAGCTGGGTCAGAGAAGCCTAGAGTGAAATCAGCAGTCAGGCCTTGCGAGCCGCCATCGGCCAGTGACAAAGCTGGGCTGCCATGGGGAGTAGGCGCAAAAATAAGAATGCGTTTTGTTAACGACGGCACGACCATTTTAAAATATCACCAGCGGAATACGGCGGGAATAGTAACGCGTTTCCGTCACGTGCGGAGGAAGACAGTCGACGAGCCGCAGCAGAGCGATCAGATCGACTTCGGAGAACCGCCTCCGCCTTTCAAACGGAACGACCGCTTTTCGAACTAACAACTTCAAACGCTTATCATTGCAGCAGTGTGGGCAAGACTGGGGGCGTTTGGACCGTCCACCAACCGCTCAGCTCGCCGAGTTGTACGACCTGCAACAGACGTCTCACCGCCATTTCATGCATGCGAATGACCTACTACGCCTCAAATTCGTTCAGTGTCACCGTTGAAGTCTACAAACAACACAAGTGTCTTGGTGCAAGGGCGAGCGTTGACATTTCGGCAGCATCTGCGTGTGAGACACAAAAACATCCGCACACTGAGTGGTTGTGTAAGCCAAGCAAGCGGCGCGGGGCACAAACACAACACTCGCGTACGATAGTACACACTCTCGCGGTCCAGATGTGACGAAAGACGGAGCTCTAACTGCATGCCCACCGAGAGTCAGGGGGTCTCGGAAAGATAGCGGGGGTGCGCATCACCTGCGGTCTGAATCGGTGCTTCAGCGCTCGAAGTCAGGACGCCTCTGAGAGGGAGCAGGAACATCCGAACTCACAGAGCGCATGCGCCACCAATCCGCCTGGAGGGTGGCTCACCTGATGGTCGGAAACTGAGCGGCCGAGTCGGCCCTGTACGGGTCATGGCAATAGTACCTCTGGCGTTCGGCCGGCCACCCGTCCGCGAAGACGTCGCCCTCCGCCGGCTGCTCCTCGTACAGGGTCGTCTGGCGCTCCAGACTGTGGCGCCGGCCTGTCTCCGAGACTGCGGCCCCGACACCAGTCAGGCCACGGCACACGGATCGGGTCACGACACACGGATCGGGTCACGACACACGGATCGGGTCACGACACACGGATCAGGTCACGGCACACGGGTCAAGTCACGGCGCACGGATCGGGTCACGACACACGGATCGGGTCACGACACACGGGTCAGGTCACGGAAGATGAGGCAGGTCATGGCACACGGGTCAGGTCACGGAAGATGGGGCAGGTCATGGCACACGGATCAGGTCACGGCACACGGGTCAAGTCAAGGCGCACGGATCGAGTTATGGCGCGCGGGTCAGGTCACGGAATACGGATAAGGTCACGGCACATGGATCAGGTTACGAACCACGGGTCAGGTCACGGCGTACGGGTCAGGTCAAGGCACAATGGTCGGGTCAAGTCGCGCAGCAAACCACGTAAGCACCGATGAACAGTTTACCATTTGTGTGTTGCTGTCTCGCAATGTGTCACTGTTTGTCAAGCACTTTTTTATTATAGCTGTGATAGCCATGGGCACAGGAGGCCAGGTGTAATAGCACGGATAAATGCAGTCATCCAATGTAAGAGATATCGCGGATCTGCAGCTCACATCGCGTATTAAGTGATTGAGTTATTATTGTCGCCTTCGCTAGCGAAGTGATCGTTGGCGCAACACTTCATACAATTTCTTAATAAACTATGACAAGCTGTTTGGTGTAGGGCAAAGTATTTTGTTCAGTCAAATCCCTTTACACACGGACCGAACGTCTCAGCTTCTTAAGTGTCAGTAATCAAGTCACCGAGCAATAGTACCACTTGGAAAGGTCTGCTCTCGGAAAGGTGAAAAATGACTTCTGTGCTGCGCTGTGCGCTTTTACACCGTATGTGGCGACTTCATTTGTGTGGTAGTCCTCAGTATGAGTGTCTTGATCTACTTAGTATATGATGAGCAAACTTGATATGCATCAGTTTGTTGCCACAAAAGTCTAAGTGCATGGTGGCGTTAGATAAAATTGAACGTGTACTTCCCCTGCCCCGTTGAAACCAGGCGAGGTGACAGCAGCTCGCGCAGCCGAGGCAGCCGAATGACGGATATTCGGCCAGCCAATTACGTCCCGCTGGGTCACATGGCGGGTAAAAACGCCGCCGACAGGACTACCAGTCACCGCGCCCACCCGATAAAGCGTTTACCGCGTACTTGATAAAAGCGTTTCGCGGTAGCGCGACGGCGGCGGCGGCGGCGCCGAGATCCGGGCCAGCCACCCCCTCCCGCGCCACCCGTGACGTCAACCCATGACGTCACTCACCGGGACAGGGGCAGCCCACACGGCCCGGCGCCAGGCGGCTAACTCCCCCGCCCAGGCGTGCACACAGACGGGTTCACTCCCCCGCAGACCAACTGGACGGGATGAAAGGTGTCGGCCTATTTCTGTCCGCGCAAAGACTGGATCGGTGCCACTGGCTGCTGTTGCGTATTCGAGAATAGATATCAGTGCCGGCGGAAAGGTTTGGGAGTAATTACTGCGCTCTCGGCGTCACGAGCTGTTGAGAGCGAACTGAGAGCAAACTGTCTGATGTTCGGACGTTAGTCTGATTGCAGCGGCGTTTCGTCGTGCCTTGTTCACGCGCTCGATTGGGTATTAAATTGGTCGCTCTGAGTTGGTTCTGGTTCCGAACAATGCGACGTAGCCTCCACAGCCTTTAACCAGTCGAAGACAACTTAATACCCTATTTTTTGCTATTGAAAGCTGCATATACCTTATAAAGTCACCGACCTGTAGCAGGTTACATGTAGGCCATAGCTGCCAGCGAAGGTAACCCTGAAGTCTTATAACTATGAAATGGCTTCCTACACAACGATGCAGTTAAAATAAGGATTGCGACCAATTTCATTGACCTTGTATCATCCGGTATAAATGTCAATCCAAGGTCACTACTAAGCAACTTTCTTACCGGAAAACTTACTCTGTTGGGTCGCTTTTGTCATGTCAAACCCCTCAATTACATGGACATCAACAGCTTTTATCATTTTGACCTCACAAGGTTCAAGGGAGGCCACTGACCTGAAGTGACCTCACTCTACCTTTTGCTTCAATGAGCATGTCGTCAATGGTACCTCTTGGTGGTTGGAGATTCAAATATAAAAGTAATCTCCATGGATTTGGAAATTTCGGCCTTCGAAAGGTCAAAAAACGTCACTGACCTTAAATGAACACAAGTAAACCTTACATAATAAAGGTGTCTAGGTTGCATCTGGTTGGATGGGGCGGTCGTAGTGCACTTTGGACTGCGATCTACCGTCATCCATGTCACTGGATCTTTGCGACGCGCTCAGTTACTGAGGGTGTACATGATGTCGCCTGCCTCTCACCTTGGTAGAAGGGGCGGGCACCGCGGGAAGTCGAACCCCGTGCCTCTGGTTTCCGAGACGCACAGCAGACGCCAATTTTGGGTGTGGCTTTATTTGACCGGAATGTATGGGGCTAGGAGTGTGATACAAGTGAGTTTACAAAGAGCTCTACCTGCCCCGCGGATTTGGTGTCTCTGGCTCTCCCCCTTATCGAGGCCCCAGGGTGGACCGTGACCTCTGACCCGAACGCATTACATTCAACTGGCAACCCGGGCACGCGAAAGGTCTAAGATTAAAGGGATTTTACGCGTTTTCCTCCAGAAACGAAATGCATTATGATGTATGATGTATGATGCACTTGCTCTGTGAAGAAGTGAAAGCACAGTGGAGTTCAGTGTCGCAACGTTTACAATTTTGCAAAACTTGTCAAACAAAATGGGTACTTATTCAAGATTAATCGTCCAATACTAGAGTAAACCACTTAAACCTACCAAGGGCATATTACGTATTGGACATACCCGCCAGAGTATTATGGCAACACATGCTAGTTATTTTAGGGACAAAATATCGTATTTAACACGTTAGATGCTTTAGAATAGCTGTTTGTGTTTGGATGTTAAAGATGGACACAGTCACGTCCGCTGATCGTGTAGAAGTCATGTGATAGCATCACCATGCATTTGGGAGCGTCACTCCATGGGGACAAAACGATCTGCAGAACAAAGCCTACCACCGCTGCACCTCTTCAACGTTATTCTGCCTGTCTTTGTAACCCGTCCAGTTTGAGAAAAAAACGTGCATTTCCTTTAGCTGATGGGCACGTGCTACACATAACATGCAAACCCCGTGCGGTGCCGCTCTCAGCGTAGATGACTCACCGTTCCGCGTGAGCCGCTGCGGCTGAGATGCGGAGCTGGCTGCGTGCCGCGGCCGCTGTCCGTGCTGGCCCTGTTGGCTGTGGACGGCGGGAGGGCCTGCGTGAGGGCCACCGCCCGATCGACCAGGCACGGAAACAGGGGCTCGATCGCGCCTGCACAGCGGCCACGGGAGGGCACCAGCACCGGCGCCTATACCTGGCACGGCCATTTCACCGGATGACACCTGACACTGCCATTCGGTCAATTGATATCTGGCACAGCTATCCGATCGGCAGGCACCTGGAGCAGCACACGCTCAGCCGATAGCTGACGCAGCCAGCCGGATGGATGATGTCTGACACAGCCATCAACTGACATGGAACACAGGAATCTGATTAACTCATGCCTGGAACAAAACGCACGATAGACCTATACAGACTGATAGGCCGATAGAACTGACGCAGCCGTCCGATTGATCGACATCTGACACAGCCAACAGTCATCCGATCGTTCGACACCCGGCGCTGCACCTGACTGGGCGACGCCTGACACAATCGCCCGGTCTGTCGACACTGACACATTCACCCCACTAGTCAACAGCTGATAACAGTTGAGGCGAGACGGCGTGGGTAAAGCGAGTGCGTGTGGTCTCAAGACGCAGGTCGCCAGCAACCTTCAGGGTCGCGCACACAAAACCATTCTTGGGGTTTGTGTGGACAATCGGGCGACACCTTCGCCGGGTAGCCATGAGGTCAACTCATAACTGACGGCCACGGCGTGCCTCGGTGAGACAGGGCGTCGGGATAATTTAGGATAAAACTGTGCGAGAGGAAAGTTGGGCAGATAGCGGGCACGCTGCTTTTCGGGTCAAGTTACCGCGACACCACCATTCTGGCTACCGCCCTTTTACCGTGACGTTGAACAGAACAGAATCACCGGACTAGCAGTGCATTGGCCTATATTTTTGTAGCGGAATAATTGAGAACGTGCCTTCAACTGCACCTACCTGGAGACAGTTCGACCGGGCGGCCGGCTATTGTAGTAGAGCTCGTCCTCGGGCCAGGCGGAGCTGGGCGACATCTCTGGGTGAGCCGGGTAACCTCCGCTTCCGTAGCCGGGCGACAGCTGGTGCTGGCCAGGGTAGCCGGGCGACAGCTGGTGATGTGGGTAGCCCTGACCGCCGGCCAGGCTGTTTGCCGCTCCCAGGTACTGCGATGCCGACGAGTTGGGGTTCTGGCCGATGGGGTAGCCGATGTCGCTGGTGTAGTCGCTGTCTTCGGATACCCCAGCTGCGATGAGATGACGTGCTCAGGCTGACAGCGGCGGCCGATGTCGCGACAGTGACAGTCATGCTTCAACACACATGCGAATCAACGATCTGGAATTGCCTTTGCCAGCTTTTTACTGGAGCATCTGCCCCACTTTATGGTATGGCAATTCCATGAACCGTTGCGGAAAAAACAATTTCATTTGGGCTCACTGAACTGAACTCTTTCTTATTCATTCATGTGTTCTGGAGCGGTCAACTTCCCAGCATGGTAGTTCACCGAATTCTGGTCTCTCTGAGCAAAGTTTAGCTGCAGGAGGTGCGAGAACCCGCCCACCCGACCCGGCATAAAACCCGTGGTCTGCCCTAGGCTTGCTTTTTCAAAGCTGCCTTCCAGTCAAAGCTGGCATTGGTCGTGATCAATAATATAAAAATCAATGATGCAGAAATGGAGTCCAAAATACTATAACAGTGACACTGGTGGGTATGCCACTCGAAGTCCGGCGACGCAGAACAGCTGGCAGCGCCGTAAGCGGCGCCAGGCTCCGGTCACGTGACCGCGTGTGTGGCGCCCGCGTGTCCGTGCCGCCCGTCACCGGACAGCCCGGTGCGCCGTCCCCGTGTGCCGCGCCTGCCGGTTGCGTTGTCGCTGACGTCACCCCCCATACCGGCGTGCGAACGCGCCGGGTAATGACGAGGCCGGCAGGCCGGCGCCGACCCGGCGGCCCATCTAATTTTAGCGGCGGTGAGCCCGTCACGACAGGGCGCAGTTGGGCGGCGGGGGCCGTCCGACCCGCCGACCCGGCCAGGTCAGGCGGGTCAGCTGGTGGGCGTCTAGCGGACCAAGCAGGGCAGCTTAGCCCGTGTCATTTCAGGTCAAGCCGAGGTGGTCATGGCCGAATGAACTGGGTTAGTGTCAGGTCCGGTGGCGTGGCTCAGTAGGGCCTGTATCATGTTGGGCGGTTTGGGACGACTGGCTGACCCAGGTCAGCGTCAGGTCAGGTCAGGCGTTGGGCCAAGTTAACGCTAGGTCTGGCCAGGCAGGTCGGAAAAGCTTGTTGGCATCAGTCAGATTATGCCAGGCCAGGTTTACTATGACCTGCTGGTTGATGTCCGTGCCCGGGTGGAATGGGGACGCAGGCGGACAGGCCGAGGTCAAACTGATCCGGAAGAGGTACGCCCGCTGACTGGCAATTCAGAGTATAGCTCTCCCGCCAAACGGTCGAACGTATCATACAGTGCGTATCAAAAGTGGTCGATTTGTTAGAATTTTCTGGTTTTGCGCTGTTAACTCTTAAGAGGGCGTGTAATGTTAATGTGTTAACTATGTGTAATGTGTAATGTAATGTTGTTAACTCTTAAGAGGGCTACTGTAATGGGCGTGTAACGATACTAACGTTTCGTATGGATTCAGGGGAATGCTTCTGACAATGAGACAGTGATTTATTAAACGTCACACCAAGTTCGTTCAATTAGTTTGGTGCGGAACGGAGCAATTTAGTCCGAGCGCGATATAGAAATAAATGACAGTTCAAATATGACTGATTTGTGGAAGGATTAGCTACATGAGCAGCTACGCATTCGTCAATTTTCTCAGCAAGAGCAGGGCATAAAACCAGCAATCGTATTCTGAAAATTTCAAACAAAATTGTCAATCGAACAAAACGCTGCTAAAACCTGATTTGGATGGTTATTAAGGGATACAAAATGAGCAATAATAAAGCGTTCCAAGTTAATTCTGATGACGGAAAAAGGGCAAGAGCTATTTTATAAGAAACCACCAGTGCTCCCCACAGCCATTTTTTTTTAGACCACAGGCGTAACAAAATGTTGTGCTCAAAAACATAACCACGTTCGCTGCAAACACTCAGCGAAGGGCCGCCTTTCAATGTGTCTAGTGCGCGTTCAGCGACCTAACAAACGCAGCCTGTCAGCCGCTTCAAGACCGTCGACACCGTTCTACCTTTTTATATAACCGTTATACAACCAATCTCTCTGACTAAGCCCCACCTGCTCAAACGTGTCCATACGAACACCGGCATCAGTCCAGTGTTCCCCGAGAGGCGCGAGTGCTGAGCGACTCCCAGCGCGCACACTCGGAACGTGCGTCCCAACTGAGCAATGAATAGTGTCTCACAGAGAGGCGCGCGCAGCAGTATCCAATACCAATCAAGATCGGCGCTGCGCCCGCCTTGCACCAATAGCTCCCACAGCGCTTGGGAGCGTACCGAAATTAGGAGCAGGCCGATCGCAATAAGTGTGAGAGCCTTCTTCTGCCCGCTGGCTATCCCCAGGAAGTCCATACGAACTATATATGAGCGCTGAGCTTTCAGATTACGGTATTGCCCGCGCGCCTCCAGCTTGGCTTTGAGTTGCCATCAAATAAATCACGCTGCACCTGACATTTGCGTAGGTGCAGCACTGACAGCGCGCGTGGAGAAGGCTTGCAGAGTTGAAGTGGGTTATCAAAATATACCCTGTGGTGGGCAATGTATTGGTGACATGTTTTCACAAGCCTTCATCCTTCAAGAGCACATCCGCTTGCTGGAGCAGCGCTCTGATTCGCGATTGGGTGCCAGTTCCAAGTAGGACATGAGCCTAGTATGGGCCGTGAAGAGACGGTAAGGCGCACTGCTTCGTGTGGTGTCAGTCTACCGGCGAGTTATTTACAGCGCCAGGTCATCAGCACACTGTTCACCGCAGCGCTGGTGAGGAAGCGTGGAGCACACCGTCTACCGCAGTACTGGTGAGGAAGCGCGGAGCACACCGCCCACCGCAGTACTGGTGAGGAAGCGCGGAGCACACCGCCCACAGCAGTACTGGTGAGGAAGCGCGGAGCACACCGCCCACCGCAGTACTGGTGAGGAAGAGCGGAGCGCACTGTCCACCGCAGTACTGGTGAGGAAGCGCGGAGCACACTGTCCACCGCGGTACTGGTGAGGAAGCGCGGAGCACACCGCCCACCGCGGTACTGGTGAGGAAGCGCGGAGCACACCGCCCATCGCAGTACTGGTGAGGAAGAGCGGAGCACACCGTCCACCGCAGTACTGGTGAGGAAGCGCGGTTGCTGTCCTTCGCTGTCAGACGGAGCCGTCACGATCGGGGGCCGTTATGTAACTGCACTTCTGGGCATGAGGCCCGAACGGTCTGCATATGGGTGCGTATGCTGGTCGGAGTGGGCGGCAAACATCATAGCAACGGAAGTTGAATGGGTCGGGTATTTTAGTCCCAGATTAGGAGCCCTGGATGAGATTTGTGAATGCAATTGCAGAGGTGCTCTGCGGGATTATAAATGCTGCCAAACAGGTGACTTGCCGCACCCGACAGTAGCAGCAACGATGCCCAGCGGCAGCGATTCGTTTCGTGGAATTCCTTAACTTAAGCACCGATGTCAGCGTACATTTATGAAACAGCCAACGGCAGGTACAATCTCATCCCCGACAGCGACCAGGTCCTTCGATGGTTTTATGTGCTACACATGTATCATGTCAGCAAGATATGTGCAGACATTTTCAGAAAGCGGACGGCTCATGCAGAAGAGAGAAATAGAAGAGAGGAGAAAAAGTGGGGCAGGGGAGTGATGCGGCAGCAGACGAGTCGAGTAACATCCAACAGTCTGTTCAGCTCGAACTGGGGAGTTTAAAGCCATGAGCAGACCAGCGCGGGGGCTGAGTGATACTGCAATTCAACACCTGCACCTGGCGCTCAGGTGGACACTGCGGGACATAGTTCGCACGGTGGCGATACTCGCCGCTGTGCCGGTGGATTTGCCTGATGCGTGCAGTTACTTTGACCAGAGTCGTGCGCCGGTCGGCAGCTCGGGACGCGGGGTGCAATGTGGAAAAGAGCGACACTGCCGACGCTGCGCGGACGGTGGCGGCACGTACGGGGGCGAGCGGAAGACCGTGGACACCGACCAACAAAACAGATAGACAGGCAGACAGACGGACGGACGGACAGGCACACACAGAGGAAGAGAACGACTAAAAGTGTAAGCCCTAACTGTGTGTGTCGTGGTTGGGCGTACATGTCTGCTGCAGCTGGAGGTGCCGGCCGCCGCCGGCCCCACCCGTGCCGCCGCCGTAACCCGGCGGCACCGTTTCCGAAGCCATCACCGAGTTGAGCACCTCCAGCTTTCGCTGCAGCTCGCCCGCATCGCAGTCCATCATGTCTGGAACGGACCAGGACAGCGGTCGTTAGCCCGCTGAAGAGCTCTCACAAACGACGGCAGAGCTCGGCGACTGCCTCGAGCCGATATGGCTGCAACAGACCGATAGAACTGGCAAGGCTCCAAAATGGCCGACATGATTATAACGTCCGCGGCCGACTGACAACAAACGCAGCGGCGCCCGACTGACAAGGGTAACAAAGTCTGAGATGACTGACGCAGATGACACTGGGCTGACCGATTGACGTGAGTAACAGAGCCTAAGGTGATTAACAAAGATGACACTGGGGTGGCCGACTGACATGAGTTACAGAGCCTGAGGTGATTGACACAGATGACACTGGGGTGGCCGACTGTCAAGGGGAACAGAGCCTGAGACGATTGACACAGATGACACTGGGGTGACCGACTGTCAAATACAACAGAGCCTGAGACGATTGACACAGATGACACTGGAGTGACCGATTGGCATGACAGACAGAGCGGCTACTGAACGGCGTGCCTCACTCAGACGTCACAGGCTGAGAGTCAGCCGCAACTGATCAGCAAGCGTGATACAGCGAGAGCAAGCGGCTCGGTATCGGGGTCGTGCGGCGGGCTGTGCTCGACCGAGCTCCGCTGCCGGCCGGGGAAGGACACGGTGGGATCGAGCGTCGACTCACTCACCGAATGGCACCTCGAAGCGGCAGTCCAGCAGCGCCTGGTCTCCGGTGGGCCCCCGCGTGCCAACTACCTCGCCGTTGTTCATCACTAGCTCGGCGTCCAGTGGGAACCACTGTCCCAGCCCCTCCTGCCGACCGAGCGCCAAAGGTCAGCGGCGCCGCGCCACCAATCAAAAGGTCATATCGGCAGCGAGAGCGGACGCCCGGGCGTCGGCATCGCCTCCGCAGATGGATACGTCCGCAGTTTTTGTGCACTGCCGCCGGGGCTCCGAACGACTGGTTATCGGGAGGACGCGATCGGAGACATTTGAGAAGTGTGGTGCGCCACCAGGGGCTATTGATCTGTTGGCACGGCTTATGTACGGCCCTAGTTGTAGGATGGAGGCAGTAGACCCACAGATACGTTCCATACAAACTTTCCCTCGTCAATGGAGAGGCTTGTGTGATGGAGAGTGATAGAAAGCCTCTGGATTTTCTTCCCCCTTTTCGACTGAACTTTATTGTACAGAATGCAAACTATGAACCCAGGCTGCAATTTCATGCTGTTATTCTATGCGGCTTCATGTGTGCTGTATGGTGCATACTGGTTTCCTGAAAATGGTAAGCTTTTCAAACTTTTGCATTTTCACGTGCATGAACGGCAAGCATACTCAACATATATATAAGCACATACCGAAAAGCATTAGAAGCCGATACGCCCTGCTGCATTTCATCATTTATATGAAGTAAAATATTTCGTTGTCTCCATCAGCGATGCTTTAACTTAACCTCGGCCGGAGGTCTAAGACAACCGTCCCCGGCCGAGGGAAGTTGACTTTTCCCTGGGATCTCCAACTTTCAGACGTTGCACAAGACAAACAAACGTACCTTTGCAAAGATCTTGTTAAAGCATGAAGAATGCACACCAATTTTTGTTTTACTTTGAGTCAAATTTGAGGCCACCAGACGTCACGAAATGGAAATAACGGTTGTTCTGGAAAATGCGGGTAGAAATATATATATATATATATATATATATATATATATACATATACATTAATTCGTCAAGACGGATATTGAACCATAAAACAAAGAAATTCAGAGTTCACCTCGACCATGCGAGTGAGGTTAGGTCATGTCACCGTTCAAATTTAGTCTACCAGCAGCCTGCAAGAACAGCACCTTTCTGTTTTTCTCACATTGTGCTTCTGACTAAATTCATTTTGTGAAGTGCAGCTATGGGAAAAACATCCCAGATACAGAAACGCTTTCTTAAGTTTAACTAGAGGTCAACTGAGGTCAACTATGGCCAAAGTCATGAACCATCCAAGTGCGAAAATTGAAGTACCAACCGGGTTTCAATGACCGATGCAATGATTTTATGTGGTCAACAATAGTGTGTAGTGCGTCTACAGGTACTCAAGATCGCATAGCTCTTGCATAGCTCTACAAAGTACACAGTTTTTTCGACGCTTGACAATTGATTTGTACAAACCGATGACAGACACGTTGGTACTTGAAATTATGCGTTGTCAAATTCATAAACACAATACACGCGTTGCACTCGTTCATTTAACCTCTTCCCCACTGACGACGGCGGTTATTGACCGCATATGACTTCATATGACCTTGAATGTCTGCACGTGACTTCATTGTGCATCATAATGATATCGTACCATGTTTTCAGTGGAATATTCTAATTCTGTGTCCCGAGTTACTTCATTTAGCTGCCTATTTTCAGCTCAGCATGTAATTTGCAGAAGAAACCCATAGAGTTAGGTCAAGATATAGGCCAATTACATGTGCTTTGTAGTCATATGATGGCTGTGCATGTCAGTAAGTACCTGTTTCCTGATATGCAAACATCAAAACTACACAAAAATGGGTGCAAATTTGAACAAAACACAAGCTTATAGCAAAAGTTGACCTCACCCTAAGTTACTCAACCTGCATGTTTTGAAAACTCTGAAATAACCAAACTGTAGGCATTCTCACGCTCTATTGCTATGCAAGTTGAGGCAATGGCAAATAACGCACACAAAATGTATGCGTGGTGAAAGCTTTTTGAAAGTTGACTTCTTTGACCTGGCTTAGGCCACTGACCTTGGCAGATTAAGCTTCAAATTTGCAAAAAGGCTAGATTCAGCAAAAACGGTAAATTTGGTGCTGCTGCGCGAGCTAGGTTTTGAGCTGTGATCGAAAACCGTTTCTGGAAAGTCAAGTTCCCCGGCCAGCGCGGGGAAGCTGACCACGCCACTTTGTGTTTTAAATCGGTCATCGGAAGCAGGAGCGCAAGGACCTTGAATGCTGTCGGTGAATGATTTGCTCAAAGAAACGCACATCACCTTGAAGGCTAGTACTGTCCTACTGGACCAACAAAGGTCGCAAACGCTCCTGAGTGCGCGTTTCAGTTGTCCATGGTGACGCAGCAATGCCGGGTTAGCCGGCAAGGGACCAGAACATAAATAGGGCCAGTGCCACCGAGTTGCGAACGTGTCTGCAAACACCGCAGGCGCCTGCTCGCTCCGCATGCTTGACGTACATGATGCATCACTGAGCCCGGAATGCAGGCAAAGTGCTAATCGTGCGTTCGTAGGATGCATCTATCACTCCTGTCACAGTGACCTCAACCACAGCCACCACTGACGTCATTTATGGAGCCATTAGTCCTAGCAAACTATGGAATAATTGGACCTACCAAACACAAATTTCTCGTTGACCTGTCTCTGATGGCACCTGCATTACCACCAAACCTCCGCCAAATCATTACGGCATAAAGACAAACTCCCTGCCAAAATAAATATGCCACACGAAGACGGAACTCTATAACCTTCTACACCTTTAACAAAGGATGTCTTTTTGATGCACCAAAACCCTCTAAATATAATAAAAGTGCGTTGGGTCGCTTTCCTCACGATTCTTTCCTATTGGGCAATCCCGCATTCCTAAAGCCGCACTGCAATCATTGAATACCGAACTGTCCCACCCCAATGCTCAAAGGGCGGTTCCAAAACGCATAGCTCTGAGATTTATCTACGCCTGCGGGCACGGCACCAAAGCACGCCGCTGGGGATTGGCTGGACATCTGCGCTCGCCGCGCGACGCCAACCAGTGCAGCTGCAGCACCTGTCTAGGCCATGTATGAGCTGTCTGCGCCAAACCTTTGTCAGGCTGTTTTGAACGAGAATTGAAGACTTCTTGGCAGCTGACCGTCCCCAGAGATGGAGTCACCGCCGCAGCGCATGCTAAGAGCAGCCAGCCGGGTCGGCATGCCAGCTGCCTTCCCTCCAGCCCGGACCGCTGGGCTCGCCTGCGAAGCTCGCATCACGCGCTCTGCTGGCCCGGTCTCGGGCGGATGGACGGCGGCCGCTGCCGACGGCCACTGACGGCCCGGAGCGACCTTAGGGCGGACCGGGGCGCAGAGGTGGCCGACCGGAGCCGGCGCCGGCCGCGCCGCGCCGACCGAGCCCCTCCCCCCTCTCCCACCCTTCCGCAGCGCGCACTCTCGGCCCCGCGTCCCACTCGCACGCCGCGTCGGTCGGCCGCCCGCCCCCCCCCCCCCCTCCCCCGTTCCGTTCCGCTCCCCCGAGGCGGGGCGGAGGAGGATGGCCTCGGCGCCGCCGCCGGCCGGTCGCGGTGAGCCGCCGGCCTCCGGCGGTCCTCCTCTCCGGGTCGGTTAGGCCGGCAGTGGTGGTCGCACCAATTGTTCATTATCCGCCGACGGTGGCGGCGGCCGTCTGGCCAGCTGATCGGGCCTATCGATGGGGCGAATCGACCGGCTGGGGTCGGCCCCTCGCTCTCCGACCGCTTTCCCCCACTCTGCCACTCCCTGTTCGGTATCAGCAGAGCTCTGTCTCCATTGCTCTCCCCCGCGGTCTCTCGTAGGCTCAGCCTGCTTTATCAGTTATCCTCCTCCCTCTCTCCCACACTGCTCGCCACCGCGGTCTCTCGTAGGCTCAGCCTGCTTTATCAGTTATCCTCCTCCCTCTCTCCCACACTGCTCGCCACCGCGGTCTCTCGTAGGCTCAGCCTGCTTTATCAGTTATCCTCCTCCCTCTCTCCCACACTGCTCGCCACCGCGGTCTCTCGTAGGCTCAGCCTGCTTTATCAGTTATCCTCCTCCCTCTCTCCCACGCTGCTCGCCACCGCGGTCTCTCGTAGGCTCAGCCTGCTTTATCAGTTATCCTCCTCCCTCTCTCCCACGCTGCTCGCCACCGCGGTCTCTCGTAGGCTCAGCCTGCTTTATCAGTTATCCTCCTCCCTCTCTCCCACGCTGCTCTCCCGGTCTCTCGTAGGCTCAGCCTGCTTTATCAGTTATCCTCCTCCCTCTCTCCCACGCTGCTCTCCCGCGGGCTCTCGTAGGCTCAGCCTGCTTTATCAGTTATCCTCCTCCCTCTCTCCCACACTGCTCTCCCCCGCGTGTCTCTCGTAGGGCCTCAGCTGCTTTATCAGTTATCCTCCTCCTCCCTCTCTCCCACACTGCTCGCCACCCGCGGTCTCTCGTAGGCCTCAGCCTGCTTTATCAGTTATCCTCCTCCCTCTCTCCACACTGCTCGCCACCGCGGTCCTCCGTAGGCTCAGCCTGCTGTATCAGTTATCCTCCTCCCTCTCTCTCTCCCACACTGCTCGCCACCGCGGGTCTCTCGTAGGCTCAAGCCTCTTTATCAGTTATCTCCTCCTCTCTCCCACCACTGCTCGCCACCGCGGTCTCTCGTAGGCTCAGCCTGCTTTATCCAGTTATCCTCTCCCTCTTTCTCCACATCTCTCCCCGCGGTCTCTCGTAGGTCAGCCTGCGTTATCAGTTAGCCTCCTCCCCTATCCCACCGTGCTCTCCCCGCGGTCTTCGTAGGCTCAGCCTGCTTTATCATTACCTCTTCCCTCTCTCCCACACTGTTCTCGCCACCGCGGTTCTCGTAGGCTCAGCCTGCTTTATCAGTTATCCTCCTCCCTCTCTCCCACACTGCTCGCCACCGCGGTCTCTCGTAGGCTCAGCCTGCTTTATCAGTTATCCTCCTCCCTCTCTCCCACACTGCTCGCCACCGCGGTCTCTCGTAGGCTCAGCCTGCTTTATCAGTTATCCTCCTCCCTCTCTCCCACGCTGCTCGCCACCGCTATCCCCGTGACAACGCGTCACGTCGCCGTTGGCTGA